TACTAGTAAGGCACCTGTTACTACTAGCGTGGCACTTGTTACTACTAAAAACAAGTTGTTCTTAAAACAAACGTGCCCAGCAAACGTTTGATCTCGTCAGCGCTCGCGGTCTCAGCGACGCCCAGGACGGAGTAAAGGCATTTCCTGGGAGCGTGGCTCGACCCTCAGCTACTCCCCCTCTCAAAAGCAAGAACCCATATGCAAGAACCCATATGCAAGCCTAATTTGAGGCACATGTATTGACTTCAGGCCATGTTACAGGAGTTTGCTCAGCTTTTTTTTTGTTCTGTTCGAGTTACAGTTGCAGGAAACTTGTAAGCACAAACACAGGCGAAGTGGATGTCTCAAACAACTGTCCCAAAATAAACACTACTTCGACTACGGATCTCAGCCACTCCTCCTGGGTCACCTCTGGAGCTTCTTCTTCCACCGGCACGATGAAATCGCGCAAGAAGCGGGCCGCTGACGGCCCCGGGACGCGAAGAACGGAGTTCAACCGATGAATTGCCAGCCCTTGAATTGATGAAAGGATCTTGCTTTCGCTGGTAGGCTGGCCCCCTCAGTTCCCCCGGAAAATGCAGCTTAAACTATATATAATCATACCGGGTGTGACAGTCCGACATCTCCCTTGGGCCCTTGGGATTGGACGTGGGACTTTCTTGACTTACTGGGTCGCAGAAAAACGAGTAGAATCGCCAACCTTCACATGTTTCCCATTGATTGAGCCCAAGAGTCATCCGGAGTTGTAGCTGCTTCTTGCGGGAATGGGCGAAGGGGCCAAAATGTGCCAAATGTACAGGACTGCACTTCACATCAAGGTAGGACTTTGGATCCGAATCAAGACAGCAAACAAGATCGACTGCGGCGCCGAAATCCAAAAGATCCAAGACACGTATGTGGTACGCGCAGCCAACGAGATGGCAGCATGGTGCGATCGCTGGGAGATTGAGACAGCCACGGCTCCCACGACTGTCGGGGTGAAATCTGTAAACGTTGACTGTATATACCGTTCATCATGTTTGGAAATATGTTTGACCCAGGTGAAGTCAAGAGAACTGCAGGGGGTGTGCAATCCATTGTCAACATTTGTCAACCACTTATACTCAATGGCGCCATTATGCCATTTACCAGCTCTTATGATTGTGACCGGGATTTAAGCCCCAATCGGTGCTACCAAGCTTAAGAAACCAACCTTATTGGCTCCACACACAAGCAGGGGAATTCCTTGCATTGTCAGTTGCCTTCAGATTATCACACTTGTGTTCATGCCGTCAGTTTGAGCCAGCCGCCTACTCAACCGCCTTCTTGTTGAGGGACATTAGGAGACAAAGCGGCAGCCCCCAAAGCATCTTCAAAAAGAAAACAGCTCTGTGCTGCACACTCGAAGTACATCCTAGCCGCTAGCCCTCTAAAGTGGGACGAACAGTCTGGCCTTCATCTGGATCACGGATCAAAGACAATACAGTACCCCATGAATACCCGCTTGAGCTTCAAGATTCAAGTATCCTTTCTACAAAGGAACCTGTGATATAGAAGGGTAGGAACAAAACGCTATCACTATAAAATGCTAAAACATGCAAAAACCAAGCAATAACAGTTAGGGTAGGCCTTGCCCATCTTCCAGCCCATCATAACACAACCAAAAACCCAACCAGTCAAGCAACGTCCAACCAATACAACATAAATCAGAACAACCCATCAACACAAAATAAACCAGAACAACCACCAAACCAACCAAAACATCCAATAAAATCAGAACAACCCACCAACACAACATAAACCAGAAGAAACACCAACCCAACATAAAACCAAACAACCTACAATCAACATAATTCTTCAATAAGGTTACCAAAAAGTCTTATTGAACAATCACACCAACAAAACTCAAACAGTCTAACATCAGAAAGTAAACCAAAACAACCTACTAACTCACCCCTCAAAGGGTCCATTCATTGTTCCCCAGGCACCCGTGTCGAGCAATGGATGGACGACGGTGTCTAGATCACAGAAGCTGGGAATGCCTTCGAAGTACATCCTTTTCGCAAACAGTGGTTGAGTCTTGCATGGGGCATTCCAGATTCTGGGCAACCTCCACGGGTTCTAGTTCTCTACATTGGGTGGAACTGGTGTGGGCACGCCTTTTCTCACGGAGTCCCGGTTTCCATGCGGCCGAACAAACCGCGCTAAACTGCCACATTTGGCAGCCATGAAAAGAAACAGGGCATTGCCATTTGGAGGTTGAAAAGACTTTTTGACTAGTAAAGCAACACGACTGGGACTTGGATCCTGCTGTGAACGCCAATCTGTTTGGCCTCTTGTAGCCAACCCTGGAAAGAACGCAGCCAAACACATTCCTCCTTTAGAGGAGAGGTCTAGCTCTTGCGCTGACTCGGAGCGAGTTGCGTGGAGCTGGGATCCCTGTACGGCTGGGACTCCTGCCGGATCATGTGATGTGTCCGTAGCCAACCCCCCCAACAAAAAATACAACAACATCCATATGCCCTGCATATCCTTGCACCTGGCACTTCACCTGTAGTCATCTCCAATCAAAACCAATTGCAGGAAACATCATGAAACGACACCCGGAAAGATTCACATGGAACCTGAAAACAGACTTTTGGAAACTTTGGAAGACCATTTTCCTCCACAAAGTGGTGATTTGCAAGTTCCATATCATGTGGGTCTCTAGTACTTTCCACTCCTTGCCACAGGTCCCAGCTTGAGAGAAATCTTCACCCACTCCTTGGTGACACACTTTTTGCAGACCGCCGAGAAAAAAAGGAATAGGTCCTTTTCCACCGTCCGCGACGGCCCTCTGCTCAGAACTCGCTACGGCCTGCCAAACAAAGCATCACGGAGCGAAGGCAAGAAGAGTAGACGGAACGCCGACTGTCGAATGAAGCAATGCTTTGATAGTGTCATGTCAAGTTTTGTTCCTTTTTGTTTTGCAGCGGATTGAGCATGCTTCTGGCCAAATGGACAGGGACACGCGAAGATTACTTTCGTACGTGATGGAAGTTTATTTTATATGTTTCGAGCTTGAATACCTGAGAATGCACTTATTTATTTTCAGGGGGAAGTGCGTCCTCAGGAGGGTCTTGCTTAGTCGAACAAATCAAGGACAGGCAGCATCCGTCTTGGATCCTGCGAACAAACAGCCGTCGCCATTCGGTCTCGAATGCAAGCATGTCAGATCGAAGCGATTGGAAGGCAAGGCTTGGTCATTCGCATGTCCATCATGCATGTCCAGGATTTCAGGGATTCAGGTTGCCCTGAAAACAACCAAACGTAACAAGGGCCCAAATTACAAACCTTCATGTCTGACCTTCAACAGCTAGTGTCGGGCAGCTCCTGCAATTGGTGACCGCATCCTGCTCTGCCAGTCAACCAGATCCGGCCTTTGTGATCTGATGGAAGGGAGGTTTCCCACCACCAAGGATTTGGATAGGCCTCTTCCTGGTATACCTGTCGCAGTCGACAGGCTTCTGGAATTGTTGTGCTGTCCAGCCCCAAGCCAAAGTTGTATTCCTAAGAGCGGTTTCCAAAGCCAAACAATGGCCAAACAGTTGAGCATTTGTTGTATAGACTCTAGACTCTAGATAGTTTCGAGCAGGCCGAAGAAACTGTGACCGACCTCACTCATCTATTTCTTAAGCATTCCCCTCTTGAGTATCACAGGCACCTTGGGATCTGATCTGAGCTTGTCTGGGTAGACGGTAGACGACCCAGAAGATAATCCGCCAAACATCGCCAAACATACTTCACTCAAGTCTTTGAAGGCCGCGCACGCTGACACACGATTGTGTCTGAGCACCTGGTTCTTGAAGGGAAATGCACACCGACATAAGGAGGAATCATCATCCGAAACCTTGCATGTCCGAAAGCTACGTTGGGCTTGAAACCGATGCTTTGGGGTGCTTTGGACCGACCTGAGCGGGCGCACGCCGTTGGGCACTTTCGCTCTTCTCCAAGTCTTCACCGCTCCGCAAGGCCTGCAGTCAGCGCGAGCAGACCGAGACCGTAATCCCAAAAAGATATGAAGCACATGTCTAATTGAAGTGAACATGTACTCTACTTGACACGTATCCCCATCAACATCGCCACTTCTGGCACAAAATCCCTTGTGATTTGTGATTCAGCTGTGCCTGTTTGACACCTGGACTGTCCAAATCTTGAGCAGATATAGAAGCAGGGTGTCTAGATCGATATCGGAACACTGCGAAGTAGCGTGTGAGATGTCTTTTGATGTCTTTTGCGCCTTTCCAGTCTTAATCTTTGCTTCCTTTGCTCCCAAGTTCTCTGGGCTGTCCAGGTCTAAGAAACCGTCCGTCGAAAACTTGACTTGACTGACTTAACGTTCAGGAATCACCTTAATCTTGACTCACCCTCAATGATGCCAGCACACCATCACGAACCCCTGAACCAATATCATGTTCCACCAAACAGCCCAAACACCATCCGAACCGGATGTGCTCATTTGCAGCAGCTCGATTCAGAAAAAGTACTTTCACCCCAAAACCCCAAGACGACTATCTTCACACCATCACCCATCTGGCGATTTCCTCACGCTCGGTCATTTGAAGTTCAACCCAGCAACCAGGCGCCGCAAAGCCCGTTGGAGCTGTGGCCACCGCTCATTGTCCCAGACCTGCAACACAGCCCCAGCTCGCAACAAACCTGCCCTTGGACTTTTGGGGGTTCCAGTCATTCCAGTCTCACCTCTTTTTCCCGAACCTTCAAATCAATTCCTAGTCGCTCTAAGGTCGGGTCATTCACGAAGTCAATTATGCTGTTCCACATCTTGTTCCTTGTTCTTCAAACCTCCCCGCAAGATCCTGCAAGGTCCTTTGAAACGTCCTGGGGCCAGCAGCACGAGCTTGGCTCTTGGCTCGGCCGTTAAGGTTATCAGGGAGCTGGAGCCCGAGCTTTGAAATCATCATTGGGAGGGGTTTGCGAAACCAATGTCTTCACGTGAGCTTCATTTGGCTTTGTTACCTTCAAGCTGATCGGTGCCATGCTGGGATTGGAGTCTGAACCACTGGGGTCTTTAGATGGGAGTCCTCGTGCAATATGTGTCCTGTGATGAGCGTCCTTCAAGGGGCATGATCCTACTAAAGGCCCATGCAGCATGGTTCACCCGAGTTCCGAGAGCAATGCAGCCATACTTACGCACCTACCTCTTGTGAAAACCATATCCTACATATCCCTACTGCTTACAGCACAGTGCGCTTTGAACCATGGTATCCAAATCAACACATGAAGCCATACATATGACTCATATGACCCCAGCTTGGGCACTTATGAAGCTTAACTCTTGCAGAAAGAAAGATCTGGGCGCATGGCCATTGAGATCATTGAGCAAACAGTTTGAGAGGGCCAGGAGCGGAGTAATTAGCAGAATGCTCCTGGAACGCAAAGCACGCACAAAACAAGTATGTTGCCCCAAAAGAATTCAAGCATGTCCCATATGTCAAATCATCATCATTCGAAGCCGAAATGAACTCGTTTGGTGTTCGATGTGCTCCCAACAGTCCTTCAGGGTTGAACCCTTTCTGGGGTCTATCCGACAGATGATGATTCATCTTTTCAATCTTGACCTGATTGATCTAAGATTTGAAGCTATATCACCAATCCATATTATATTGTCTATCATATTATATCAGTTATTATATCATATATCAATGTTAATCTCCGTCTATCACCTCCACTTATATAGCCCTCTCAACTCTGTGGCAACATCTGTTCCCTCCGACTCGGCAGCATCTGTTCCCTTCGACTCTCTCCGACCTGCAGCTGTTCAGCCACCTGTGCCGTCTGATGCAACTGGCGTCGCATGTCCAGGGCCGTGGCGCTGCCCTTCATGGCCATGCTGTGCTCGATGAAGGTGTCAATGTCGACTTCCTCCGGGAGATGAGTTCGGAACGACGCGATGTTTGGGGGCTTGAAACCGGCTGAGGCATGCGGTTTCAACCGGCGGTGTGCTTTGTATAAATAAATGGCTCTCTTATGGTCTCATGATGATGTCCCAGTCCTGACAGTGGTCAGCAATGATGTCGAAGAAGTGCTCCGCATCATGCATCTCCAGGCCCAGACTGTGCATGTACGAGACAATCCGATCCTCGGTGGCCGTTGGACGATCCGACCGTGTCACACGGCGATCCATGCATCGAGTGCGTCGTGCGTCGTGCGAGGTCTGAGTCACCGACAGCGGGGGGAAAGGGAACATCTGAAGGCTCTGGGTTCCTAGTTAGCATCAGTTCGGAATCACCAAGATTCAGTCGGTTAGTCACTGTTAGATCTGTTAGTCTGTTGCGAGATAGGCATCGGTTGGTTTCTTCAGACCTTTCGAGGTCTGAAAGGGACTCTTTCGGGCGCCATCTCACAGGCACACTTTGGATTTATCTTTTTCGCCCCGGAACTTCGTTACATCGCCCTGTTGTCATGTATATCATTTCTTGTTGATGGAACGCTCCCTGTGTTCTCACACGGATACGTCTGTGCATCCAAGTGCAAATTTGTTTGCTGCAAGCCTGGCTTAATTATGTGTTCATTGTGCTTTATGTCCTTGGAGCCCTCTGCTTTTCCCACGCAAGGCTCGATTGTGAGGAGTTGTCTGTTTTGTGAATGCTTTCCTCTTTCAAAGAGCGCAAAGCAAATGAAATGCCTGGTTTTGTCCGCATCTTGGTTCTCTCGTCTTCGACGGGTGACCTGTGATGCTTCGCATTTTTGAAAATGGGAAAGACCCACGTTCTTTCCGAGGCAGTACTTCGTGATGGCCTCTTGGCTCTTGCTTGGGGCTCGGAAGCCCCCGGTGCTGTGCCTTTTCGTTGTCTCGCTTTCTTTAGTGGTTCTTTCACGCTTATGCTGGGAATAGCCACAGCTTCTGTCGAAGCACTACAGCGGAAATGCGGAAAAAGAAGTCACTGTTAGTCTGTTCAGTGTTGATGGCTCAGCATGGCTATTGGACTGGAGAATGCTCCATGTGATTTAGCTCTCGATGTTTTTTTCCCAAGTTTAAACCTCACTATCCTCACTCGATATGGTTTTTTTCCAAAAAAGCAATCCGAGAGTTTGAGGGTTCCACATGGTTCCACCTATAGTTCACCGGATGGATGCGCATCTTGGATCCGAGTCGTGGATCCAGGCCTCACGGAGCGCCGCTGTCATAAGCTTCGTCATAAGCTGTCAAGCAGGACAGTGACTAAGCAGGAAACTATTCATTCCTTTTGACATCCTTTGGACTTTGGTGTAGTGGTACAGTAGTACACGCTCCACTCATCTCAGTAGTGGACCATGCACCTGACGTGTTAGGTGCTTGCTCTGTGCATGCGAGGTAGGGCCAAGACGTGTTCACATTCGTTGCCTGTTTAAGGGACATCTTCCCGCCCGCTGTAGACTAGATCAGCAATTCCGAACGTGCGAGCACTCATACCTGTGGGTCTTGCGAACGTGGTCAGTGCGCTAGCAGGCCACAAAGCATTCCTCACAGCTCATGCGCCAGAAGGCCAGCAGCCAAATATCAGGCTTTGATTCGCTAGTTCCTGGTGGGGGTTGAATTGCTCAAAAAAACTCAAAGATGAGTCCGTTTGGAGGCCGAGTGCAATCGAGGCCGAAATGGTCGAAGGAATGCATGCGATCAGCTGATCCTTACCTTTGCGGTCCCAGGTGCATCTTTCATATCGTTGATGAACTCCGATTTGGTGATCTTGCCCGAGGCGTCCTTAGACCAGCGATCACAAATAAACCAGGTAATCTGGAGTCATGGAATTTGAAACCTGAGCGACCCTGTGGTCAAAGGAAGCCATCGTTTCGTGAGTCGTGGTGCAACGCAGTTCCAAACAGTCCCCTTAAATATAAACAACATGCATACATCATGTGACACCAAATGCCCTGGTCAAACAACAGGCAATTTGGTGCACCACCTGCCGCTCTGGTCCGAGCGGTCATCCTTGGTCATCTGAGCCGAGTCGAGCCCCAGTTCAGAACGCGGGGAAAGAAAAAACACCGGAGCCCAAATCATCCTGGAGCATAGCTACTTGTAGTAACATGGTGCAGGTCAAACTATCCTACATTACTTTTGTGTGTGCACAGTTGTTCTACATCCATTGACTATATCGTCTAATTGCTTGAAGACCACAGACCGTAAATGATAAGCCACTGGCAGGTTCTTGCAAATGAATGACTTGAAATGCCATGCCAACCTTATGCTGGCGCATGCAGAACAACCCACGGCGAAAAAAAACACATAAGCGCTGATAATATACAAATTATATATTTATATATCCATGGGAAAACTATATATTATATTATATTATGCATTCAGTAAAAAAAGTAAAAGTTCCCTTCGTTGCTGCTCACTTTGAAGCCGCAGCCTGTGCCCTTGGAGTGTAAAGGCGTACAACCTCAGCCTCCCAGTAAGGATCCTCAAGATCCATTTTCAAAAGTTTCTGGCGGACAGCCTTTATACTGCAATCTCAGTTCACGTTGAACTTCATGCATGCATCCGAGAACTTGCGTATGTTAATTGAATACAATATATCAAAAATATTATGTAAACAAGATTGTAATCATATATATTATATATATACACGGTATACACATGCCCACTACCCATGCCCTACAACTTCAGCTGAATTTTCTACGCTTCGTCAATGGGCAACACTTGAAGGCACAAAGGCCAATGTGCGTCAAGTTGGTCTAAGCTAAGAACTGAAATTCGAAAAGGCTCTGACTCTGGTCACAATATGGGTCACAGAGTCTATAAGGGTCAAGCTCACCAAAGAGCTGCAATTCCGGAAGGCCAAATCATCGTCAGCTTTGCCAAGGCGAAGCAACCTGAAGTTTCATTGCGTGGCATGTCGACCGCCAGCCATAGTTCCGAGTCTGTGACGCCACCAAGGCTGGCGATTGCGTCTTAGTTGGAGCATATCACCGTGATCAGCTGGAAGACCACACTCACAAGAGTATCTGCAGAAATTCCAGCGTTCAAAAGACTGAGATGATTGGCCAGCAGTTGACCGTCTCCGACAAGTACCTCCACAAAGGTTGTCCTGCGAGTACGCTCGTCAACCTTCTGTCCTTCTTTGATCTGCTGCTTCAGCGCCTGGCCTGCCATCTCCGGCGTGACGCCTTCAAGAACAATGATTTGACCACTTGCAAGGGATGCCGGAATTCTCAAGGCCATGGCTCATGCATCTTGAAAGACTTGGGCTTTCCTTCGCCATCTTGAGTTGTGCTGCTGAAAGCATTCTGCTGCCCTTGGGAACTGTTTGGCTTCTGTGCGGGAAACACCTCGCCAACGGACATAGCACCAACATGCTCAATGTCTTCCGACATGAGATACGGCATAGTCATAGTGCGATCACCAGAAAGCATGGAGTGATGTTCTCAACACCTTCCCCTGGGCCCCTGTTGTAGCTTTAAGCATCTCCCGGCTGTCACCAGGAAACTGCTCTAAGACCGGTCGAAGATTTCACAAGCCTCCTTGGTGACAACCTAACCGGTAGACCAATTCACAGGAATATGGCCGTGTGTGGTCACCGGTCGTTATGCCACCACTTGTTTTTCGAGCATTGCTGGGTCGCATCGTGGATGGTACTATACCTATACAGTGAATTATTGAACAACGTGCCTTTTTGCAGATCTCCGGGCAGCACAACCACGGGGCCCGGTGCATCTCATAAGCATGGAATCAGCGCTAGCCAAGGCCAAATGGTCTTTCGGGGAAAGACATGGTTCCAGCAAAAGATTACCAGTCTTTTGGTCCGAACTCGACATGAAGCTCCGTCGAGTCCAAGTTGGGGGGCCAAGCGTCGGTATCAAGATCTTTGAACAGAGCCCTCAATTCTTCGACCTGCTTCAGAAGCTTCTTCCTTTCCTGGTCGGCTAAAGGGTTTCGACCGAAGAACATCCCGATAAAGAAGCGGCAAAGAAAAACCGGTGACACAACAAGGACCCAACAAAAACTCGGTATCTACTATCTACATATTATTATATTATCATCCGTATATTATCCAACAATTCCAACCCTCTTTGACACCCAACTAGCCCCGTCACCAGGAACCAAACGCCAAACCATCCTGTTACACCGCTGACTGTGGTCCCTTTTCCGCTTTCCAGACAAATGAGTGCACACGAAAATAACAAAGACATCAAACCAAGACACATGCTTCGTCATGCTTCCATTCATGTCCACTCTAGACCCTTAGAAATCCTTAGAAATCCTGAACTACTGAGTAACTACTGTATCACTCTCCTTTCCGGAGTCCGACTAGATATGGACCACATATGACGCCCTCGTTCTCGAGCGCTTTTTGTAGAGCTCTCGCCTCCGAGATGAGCTCCTCTCGGTCCGGCAGGGACGCAGCCACGGCCCTTTCGACGAACACACCGGTGAGGATGTTGAAGAGGGCCTCATGGTGAAGCGACGCCGGAGAAGACTTGTGCGGCGACTTGTTCGGCTTGGTGGAGTGGGGGGGGGAGGTCCTGGGAATCAGCATCCAAGCGAGCTCTTTTGGGCCTCGTGATGAAGGTTTGTTCCAGCAACTGCTCGTTTGGTAGGTTCTTCCAGTATCCCATATCAAAGAAAGACTCGATTATACTCTATCACATCGACCTTCCCACTCGTCCCGGCGTCCACCGTCGAAAACGCCTCAGTCCATCCTCCCATTCCCAAAGCATTCGATCTTCCTGGCACCTACATTCCTACATAGCAGTGTCGCCCTGCTCACCTTCTGAGAATGTACGACTGGATTCCTAGGGCCTAGGGCTGCACAAAAATACCAATCTCACTTCAGTTCGACGGTGTAACCGGCTGATTCCCAGTCTGGGTCCCCAAGATCCAGAAGTCCTTTCGAGGGTTCCAAATCCCCTGGAGGCCCAAAAAATCCAACAGCAGCCATCTGGACCCTTCAAAGAGCCTGAGTCAGCCAGGATTGAAAACTAGATTAGATTATTAACAATTAATGTATATATTATTAATGCATATAATGTAACGTATGGTCTTATTTTGGGGCCTTGTGGGTGGTGATCGCTACATTGACATCCCACATTGACATCACTCCGGAATCTTCTAGGAACAAGGCGGAACAAGGGAATTGGAGAGACCTTGGGGCCCCAGGCACAGTTGCAACTCCTTTGACACCCATCTTAGCCGGAATACAGCCCAGACAGAATCTGGCAGTAGATAACTGCATGTGAAGGTCCAGCTACACCTATTGGGTTGCACGGAAGGCGTCAAGTTTTGTCTCGATCTGGAGCCAGGGTGCAAAAATGAAGAAAAATGTGTAGCTCAAGAAAACGGCTGGATAGAAGGACCCGATCTGTACCATCACTGCGTAGTACATGGACCAATCGTTGCCGCCCGTCACGGAAAGGTACAAGGAGAGCCTCAGCGGGCACCAAATGGAGTGGAAGCTCATACTTAAGCCCGGTTTTGAATTGCTTTAGATTTTGAAGGCAAAAATGCTACAGCTGCTACAGCCTGGTCCCTTCCGGCAAGTGGGTCGCAGTCGTTCGAGGAGCATGGACGCACCCACCGAGCCAAAGGAATCTGTCATCATCTCCTGCTCCATTGGGCCGAGTTCCTCCTGACAGCATGCTGGGACGCCGCTGGGACGTCTGTCAGCCCGGGACGCCCACCGAACCAAATGCAAGCACGCACCCCGTGCGGCACGTGTGACATGGAGGACCGGCACGACCGGCCCCTTCATCGTGCCGTGAAAAACCTCTCCAGCGTTCGACTCGCCCATCAGCCCATCCCATCGGGACTGAATCCTCCCGGGAGCCGGCGCGGTTGTCCAAAAACAGCTGCGCGGTTGCCCCACGACGCCAAACGCTACCATGAGACTCTTGTCATCCTGGTCCCTCTGGATTCCTCTAAGGAGGAATCAGACATGGTGTCGAGCAGTCTTTTTTTTCAGGTTTTATCTCTTTTGAATCACCAAAACAAGACCTTTTTGGATACCAGGGTTTTACACCACCCAAGTTCGGAGTGTCTTCAATCGGACTCCAATGGTTGGAGAACGGGTCTCCAGATTCCAAGACCCGGTGACCCTGGTGCAACTGCTCCAAAACGCTCCCGGCAGTCCTCCGTTCCAGCAGCGCTGTGGGTGGCCAGATGGCTTGCGACGCCCTGCGCGAAGATCAACGCCTCGTGTGGAGATCGTGCGGGTCCCACCCGGAGCGGCGCTTGTTCCTAGTAGTACGGCCAGGAGCGCCCCTAGTAGCGTCCTTGCTCCTAGTAGCGATGCCCTTTGCTCTTAGTAGCGTCCTTGTGACTAGTAGTATGGCTAGGAGCCCGCAGTAGCTTCATGTTCCTAGTAGCGATGCCAGGAGCCCCTAGTAGTGTCCCTTGTTACGAGGGAGAAAGAGAGGATCCAAATTGATTGATCATCCTGGATTGTTTGGAACACAAACGGTCTTCCTAGGGCACCAACTCCAGAAACCGCCTCGCGGTACTATGTGCCTACCATTGGGGATTGTTGGGACACCATACTTGAAGATTAACCATTGGACATCTCCAAGGTGACTGGTTTTCCCTGTTACCGTAACCCACAATCATACCATATCATACCTTGCTATGCTATGCGCGTGATCTTGCCATCAACCTGGGCAAGCAGCTGGAAAACAAGAAAACCCATTGTCATCAGAGGCATTCAAGTCTCAGGGGGAAAACACGTGTTGTGTTAACCAGCACCCACACTTGTTTCATCTATCACCCATGAACTACCACAGTTGTCATCGTTGCGGGCACGTCGTGTAGAGCAATTATGGGTCAGAACTCGACATCACGGCCCAACCGACAGAGAAATCCCCAGGCCATAGGGCTCCCCTGATCTGAGTGCCCGACGAAGACGTAGAGCAAAAACATCAGGAGGACCAAGCCCCAAAACATGGCCACGATGCACTTCCGAAAGCCTTTGGAGCCGTCATTGGCAAAAAGACTTCATGATCGCAGGTGGGTAGCCTGCAGTTATATATCATACACTTGTGATCCGATGGTATAGGTGAGAGACTTCGAGGAAACTCCTCAACGCAAATCTACGACCACAATTCCCAAACATCATCCAGCATTCCTTGCTCGGGCTTCCCCCTAAACATGCGAATCGGATCCAAATCTGACGATCACACAAATCACAAATGGTGGCGTCACTGAAAGACATCAGGCAATCGGCCACCCACGCTCCTTCGCCAAAATGATTAGTGGACAAAACTAAGTCACCCAACGACCAGGAAAGCAACCTGATAAAGGAATGTGTCCATCAAGCATGCTTCGCATGTGGGCGGCCGGCAAAACTACGTGTCCCAAAACGTATGTAGTAGATCGAGGTATCGTTTTTCCAACCGGTTTGGATATTTTCATAACCGAGATGTTGCGGGAGTGATGCAGTGATTGGCGAACCACGTGCAGGTGTGATGCGGGAGACCGTGTGGTGCACAAAAATGGCAGGAGTGGCTCCAAAGAATCAACCAATTCGATTCAAGGCATGTCTAAATTCAAAGAGGGGTATATATCATTTTTGGGATGGTGTATCCTTTTTCCAACTCAAAATCGCTACCGCGGATTTCATCTAAATAATCTAAATATGATGTGCAGCATTCTGCTGGTCACTCATGTGTTCTTTTGGTGAGGAGCGAGAAACTGCAAATCCAGCCCCACATTGGAGCAAGTTACCACATGTTACCACCATAGTTGTCACGTCTGAAAATCCTGCACTTGCAGCCCCTGCGCCAAACCGTGATCACACCTGTCAAGCCAAGTGACTTTCCAGCATCATTGACAACCTTGGCACAGAATCCGAGACTGTGTATGGCATGGGCATCCTCAAAGGCCCCAGTTTTCGCAGCGCGGGCGGGGGGTTTGCTTCGCCCTTCTGCAGTGCGTGACGGTCAACGCACTGCAGTGCACACGTCAAATAAGTTCTAGAACTAATTGATTGATATACCCAAGCATCAAACCTAGCTGAAACACCGGGTCCATCAATGGCCCAAGTGACCAAGTGACCCAAGTCCCGAAGACAACGGGCGGATCGGCCGTATCGGAACGTGGAACGACCCGGTGGCTCGACCCAGCTCGAACCGACGAGTCGAGCACGTTAAACGTGGTGTGGTGGCACATGACATCGGTGGATTTCCAACTGGCCGGTTTTGGACATTGGATCGCAACAAACACAAATTAATCCGTGGATTTGGAATGTGCTGAATGTGTTTCTGACCGATCTCCCAACTCCGATTGTTGGATCCCACACTTAAAAACCCTCTGCGATTCGGAATCCTCCACACCCCCAGACAAAGACGAGTCTTCGACACAAATGCAAAACCTCCGCAATTGACCGCAAAACCTCTGAAACGTTTGATGATGTTTGATGTGATATCATGACGGTACCATGATCCTCTCGAAGATCGGCGCGCTTTTCGCGTTCGGAAGAGCCAAGCAGCTCCCGTACGAAGGAAATGATCCCTGAACGAATGAAGGGATGTCGGTCAACTCTGCATGGGTTAGGGCGTTGCCCTGGTTGTTTGAGTGGCATGTTGAACTGAAACGTTACTGTACTTCCTTGGAACTTGCTTGATGCACAGCCGATGCACCGAGTCTTTCAACAAACTGGCATAACTAAGCTTAAGGCTTGATGTCATTGGATCTGGTGGCTGTATGTGGCTGTGGAGCCCCTAGTAGCGTCCTTGCTCCTAGTAGTAGGGCCAGGAGCCCCTAGTAGCTTCTTGTTACCAGTAGCGATGCCAGGAGCCCCTAGTAGCGTCCTGCTCCTAGCAGTAAGGCCAGGAGCCCCTAGTAGCTTCTTGTTACTAGCAGAGATGCCAGGACCCCCTATATAGCAGCGTCCTTGTTCACACAATGAAGAATAGAATAGCGAATAGTTCTTCAGAGGCTTGCCTCTACCAACCCCCAGCTGGGCCGGGTTTGAATCCCTGGCAACGAACGGACATCGGACCAATCGGTCTTTCATCGAGCCCAAGGCACGGATGGTCCGCAAGATCTTTGCAAACTTGAACCTTGGGAGATCTCAGCTGAGTGGTGAGATCACAATGGCAAGCCGTTCCAGGCCGGTGCAAATCGTCGCGCCCTCGTTCCAGGGGACGTCTCTTTTGCAACATGGTATCGAGACCCGAAATAAGCCTGAATTACTACATGAATTGACAAGCACCCTCGAAAGTCAACAATTTGACTTGATAACGGTTTGGGGTGTTTGTAATCTTCCCCAAACAAGGATTGAAATTCTATGCATCAAAAAGTGATCTGTTTGATTTTTGGTGATGGCAGGAGGTTGAAAAATATATTGACATTCATACGACACACAAAAAGGAAATCAACACAGGATGTGCAAACATATTTTGGACGGTTCCGAGTTCCAGGTGAATGGTGAGAACATGCACCTTTGGGTGGTCAAGAAGGTTGAGGTTTTCATTGTCACAGTTTTTTTTTTTTTCAGGTCAGCCTGTCCAAAAGAACAGATGGTGAGTCAAGCCCGGGTCCCATGATTATGTAGTTATGTAGTTGATCTTCAGCACAACTGCAAAATACTGCAAGCCTCGTCCATTACTTGCTGACCCTGAGCACCGCGCATGCGAAATACTCGCCTAAGCAGCACATGCAGGCAGTCAAAGCACGTGGGAGTGTGCGGAGGATTCATGACACCCATTTGGAGAGAAAAAGGATTTGCCTCACAACTCGGGCCTCCATGTGGGCCTCCAAGGGTTCTGAACGTGTTTCGTTCTGAACCGTGATCTTCCAAAAAGAACAAGGCGGCATGGTCACAAAACGCTAGGGCCTTGAGGAAACACATACATACTTACATAGCATCACTGAGTGGGAAGAACAGAATGCGCCTGGTGCAAAACTTGAATTCCGTCTCCTCAAAGCAAAAGCCAGACCCCTACCAAACTTCTACAATGTTCTTCTGCCTTTGTAATGATTTACTGAGGACTGCACGCATGGATGGGCCAAGGGTGTCACCACGAGAACCCTTTTTCCAACGAACAGTCGGCCGTCCTCACCGTCGTCACCGTCCAGTCTGTCCGAGGCTCATGTAGCCCAAGTTGTTGGGTGGCGTTTCCGCCCCATCGGCTGGCCAATTGAAGATGCAATCCTTGCCGCGCCGCTTCGCAATCCGAAGGAAACACAGGGGCATGATCATCGCACCGTGCCCAGCTGGGTGACTTGAATTATCGGTCACAATATAGGTCGTGCGTCGCAAGAAGCTTGGAGGATGACCGAAGGAAGGAATCCAAAGGGGAGCTTCTTTGACAATGAGAACGAGGGACAATGGTAACCACGGGATCCCGTACTCATCAAGCATGCCCTAGAATGGTCACTTTAAGAGAAGAGTACTGACTTCCCTGATCCTTAAAGGACTTCCCAACAACGAACACACATTGCTGAGCAGGTCCAAGTATCTAAGGTAGAGAAGACCACCAAGCTCAAATCCTGAGAGACCACAATGGACTGAGACATCTGAGGTTAAAATTACAGTAGGACTTTTGTGGGATCTATGAGTCAAACGCACGAAAAGGGTTGAACATGCAATTAGCAATTGTATGCAATTGTGATATATACGCACCAATTGATGCACTGGCAACATGAACATGACGATTTCGTTGCAAGGTCTGAACTCACACGTTGCTGCAAAATAGAACTCCGCGCGCTCAGCACGGCAAGGGACGAAAATGTTCCAGGCGGCATTGTCATTCACGAAGAAGAAGCCTCACTCACTTGGCACCGGTGGTGGGACCCCACTTTCAACGGGCCCTGCATGAAAGGCCCTTGCGCCCTACATTGTCTTGCACTTACGCCACGCTAGCCGCTAGCTGCTTGCTAGCGTTACAACGCGGGTGATTCAAGATGGCCAAGCTCCAGCCTTGCCAAACATCAAGCATTGAATGCACCCACGCGCGCAGGGGCAAAATGTGGATTGATTGAATGATCTCTACACTCCGACAGTGGAAAACCCCGTCGGCCCGTTCTCAAAGGACAGTAGTCTTCTACGGGGCCATTCCATCCACTTCCATGATCTTCCATGTTAGTGAGTTACTGTAGAGTGTAACATGCACCCGCGTTCAACTCTCCCAAAGAGCTCTGGATTGTGGAATTGGCGGAGGTCACAAGGTCTGAAAAGTTGGTTGGTGGTTTCAACTCACGCAAGAACAACATGAGTCAGTGTGTTCAATCACAAGTAAAGGTTGAAAAGAAAGTATCTGAAGGACCATCAAACTGGACATGAACAAATATGTCCTGTCCAGTTTGCACTCACCCAGCTAGAGGAATGTCAAAACAGCGATCTCCTGTGGACCCTCCACAGTTTCCACGTGTGGAAACACCCGGTTTTGCCGGGCTGGGCGCCTTTGCTCACGGTGATCCGCAGTACCACTTCCACAAAGTAGAAGAAAAGGAAGGCCAAGTCCACAAACTCGAAGCCAGGCGGATTATCTGAGCAGCGCCCCACGTGTTTGTTTGATGGCTTTTGGCTTCTGATTGTGCCGGGAGGCGGCCCCAAATCCAACCATCCACCAGCCCAGCAGGCCCCGCGAAGCAACCCCAAAGAAGAAACATACCACGATCTTCTGTCTGGCTCGTTTTCCATCCCAAAGTAGGATCCAGGTATTGGGGATGCTCTAGTTTTTGATGCTTCGGCCACCATGCTTGCCGCAGCAATTCCACATAGCATTGGACAATTCTTGGGGGTGTCCCACAGGCCCTCTGCGGGGCCTCTCTGCTGCTAGATGCAATTGCTACAAGCCTCATGCAAAGCAAGATCCCACATGCGAGCATCCTCGCATCCGGATCCATGCATCCGTCAAAAAAAGAGATTGTCTTCGAGCAGCTCTTGCCATCGTTGCTCAAACTCCAGTCTGTCAACCATGTGACCACTGCAGCATTCACTGTGATGATCTCAGCACAAGGCAGAACAACAAACATTAACAAACGTGGAGTGAACAAACACCTGCACCAGATTCTACAACTATATTTGTGTTGCATTATATTAGCCAATGTGAAGGGCGGACTTTCCAACAGCATTTGTTGTAGTTTCTTGGGGGGGGTGTGGAAGACCAAACGCAAACACAACCTAATATAGTGTGACGGTTCCTTTGCAATGTTGCATTTTGGTGGGACGATGTGGGACCAAACATGCTTATTAATTAAGCACAATGTTAATCATCCCTGTTTGGTGGCACTACTAGTAGCTAGCACAATAGCTAACAAGCGGGGTGTCGCCAAAGCAACTGGCACCAAACACCTTGCATTCCCAGCCGTTGCACAACAACAAAAAACAAACTGTGTGCCGTAGACAGCGATTGCGCTGCCTGTGCTGTGTCCACATGTCATGTGCATGCCAGGGTGGATTCATTAGACCCGAACAACGCTGGGAAGCTTGATGTCCTTCATGCAAAGCCGGCTTTTTGGTCGTCAGTGGTGGGTGACACCCAATTATGACCTGCAGCTCATCTATATAAATTAATCAAACAACACTGACCAGCTTTGAATGTGGGTCAATAATGTTTCGTTATGTCTGGTTCGTTTTCGCACCACACACGCGCTCCACCTCGCAAGCCACTTCCAGCTCAGTGGCAAAGGCAGAAAGAAATCGGAACCATCTCGATTCCACCACGTCGTAAATGCGACCTCGGGTGGTGGACCTATACGTCGAGGGTTCCTTGCAGTACAAGTGTTGAGTGGGAAGGGTTTTGGTGAAGCGAGGGGCCCGGAAGAACGACCTTTGTCCCCACTTGTGGCCCACTTGCCACATCTTGATACTCTGGCCACGGAAAAAAGCGCGGGTTTCAAGTCTGAAATCTGAGGTCACAAGATGTCACAAGCCCCCTTTCCACAAGCAAGTCACCTTTCCACTTTCCATATACCTGACCCGTGTGCCGTCCGAGGCGCCATGGCGTGGAGGTTCCTCCAAACTGTCCCACCAAATCGCGAAGTCCGCCGCAAGGCGCCGAAGCTTGATAAACCTCAGTCGCTCGCGACGTTCGGCGACGTTCCGTTCTGATTCCCAAGTAGCAGCAGGTGTGGCCGGTGAAGAAACAAGACCAGCAGCGTCGACCCCAAACAGCAGCGAAAGGCTTGATGCTTCTTTTTGGCGAACCTCTTTGCTGGCATCTTGTTTCTTTGCCATGAGGCAAATGGAGACAAAGCAGAGTCATCTCAGCCCAGCATCCAGAAGATCCACAGCATGTGCCAGGTACATAAGATCCAGCTATAAGATGCTATAACTTGGCCTAGTATTGAATGGCAGCACAGCTTGCATGCGGAACAATGTATAATATAATTATATATATATATATCACTTTTCCGACCGCGTCAGTAGAGTCATGAGATACTCATGAGATTGTTGTATATAAGGTATACAGTATAATAAAGCGGATCTTGGACGTTTTTTGTACCTTGGACCGCCAACTACTGAAGTGAACCGACCTCCCGAACGACCTCCGGGACATTGGGCTCAGTGGCGCGTCCGTACTCTCGGCGTTGGTGGCACCAATCAAGGTACGAACCTCATTGTGGGAACGTCCACGATCGATCGATCTCATCAGGGATACCATGGTGAGCTGCACCAGGCTGAAAAGCGGCTCTCAAAGGCGGCTGAAACAAGTGAGAACATCCCGACTTTGGGGGTCTGAGAAAGCTTCAGCAACAGTTTGTTTGGCTCTTATCCAATCGTCTCACATGAGCAACCGGTCATTAAGGGGACACCCAACACAAGGACCATTGACTGGGCCATCTCTGTTTCTTTGACCAAGAGTTGGATGCTTGCATGGCTGCAACTCTATCAAGTGTCGCCCTTCTCTGGCACTCCCACAAACAGTGTCTCCACAAATGAGGTGAACAATTGCAGTTGGCAGCTAAAGGTCACTGAGGTTACCTTTGAATCGCATCGCTTCGTTCCGGAATCGATGAATTAATTCCACAGCACGACTGTGCCGAGCTGCTGTCTTGGAGACGACCGTCTCTTGCTGGGCCTGCAGATTCAGCAGACGCGACACAACAAGCGGTCACGATGGCGTGCCCAAAGAAACGCTTCGGATAACCCATGACCTACCAGCATACCTTCTTTATGTATCCTTTTTCCTGTTGGCCTGAGATGGCCTAAGGTGCTCACGCCAGCTGCAGGTTTGACTCATGATATACATGACTCCAAATTAAGAAATAATCAATGCAAACATGATGAAGCTAGACGGAGGTCAAATGCTTGATCAAAATGATAGGGATCCTGGTAGCAAGCCGCCCGGTTGCCAGGCTCAATGGAGTGGGCCGTCCTATGATCAGTCCTGTTGCTCCACGTACTTCTTGAGTCCCAAGCGGCTGTCTTGGCCTTACGGTGCTTGGATGTGCTTGGTGCAATTTGCGGGCTTGGATTGCAAGTCTGGCCATGGCCTTGTGGAATCGTTGGGGGCAAACTGCCCACCTTTTCAACAATTGCCATGAATGCGGAATACGGTGCAGCTATGCTGCCACCCTCCTTCTCAAATTCACTCACAAACCTGGGGAGCTAAAACATGCTAAAACTGGGGAGCTTGCCAAGCAGGCGTGTCAGTCAGAAACCAAAAGTATTTGTGTAGAAAACCCGCAGTTTCACCAAGGAGCCATTCTCCTCGCTGCGCTTCTGGCAAACCCTCTCCTCCTTGCAAGGTATGTCCTGGAGATGTGCAAGATCAGTCACAAGATGTTGCAGGCAAAGCCAAACAAACACCCACCGTGACTGTAACAAACAAATAAATACTCATGCAGGTACTAGCTACAGGTGTTCTTCAAAAGCACCAAGCAGCCAGCTGGACCCCAAACGGCTACTGTGGGTGAGAGTGCATGAACCTGGAGATGGGGATGCTGTTTCGGCGGCGGACTTGAATTTGATTTAGTTTGGTATTACATCGTATGTTATATCGTATGTTTTTCTCCGTGTTTCCGTGGTTTTTATTAGTGTTGCTTTCTTGGTCGTCTTGCTTTGGTGGACATACTTGACATAGCGTTTGTTTCTTAATTGCTCTACAATGCTTTCGAAATGAATCTTCACCTTATACTTATATGTTACTGTTCCTGTTCAACTTCCTTTTCAACGTGCATTCCTTCTTTGCACTGGAACTGGAACATGGGAAGTCCTGTGTAGCACTCACATTTTGTGGACATGGAGTTGGATACGCATAAACATGATTACACAATATTACACATGATTACAGTGTATTACAGTATATAAACATGCATAAACGGTCGTCATAAACCATGCCGATTGCGAAGACCCCATTTTCTAGCCTCAAAGGGCGCGGCGTACTCTGAGTTATGAGCCCAACGCTGTGAACTCAATCCGCCATGGAATGCGAACCTTTTGGAGCCAGCGTGCTAGGGATGAGCTTGCGCTGTTGAACTTGAGGCATGATGATCTTCCAAAGGAGCTGCCGATGGATGAGGAGGGAAGCTCAGAAGAGCTGCGGGCTGCAAATCCCGAACCCACTCACCTGGACCTCGGGAACTCGACGGCTCGAAGGAGGAGACTGTGAGCCCTGCAATCAGTGCAGGGTATGGCGGCCCGCTGCAGTTCCAGGAAGAGCATCGTGATCGCCCTAGTGAAGTTCTCGTGAAAGCAGGATGGCCCAATGCGAAAGGTCAAGACCATGCAGGAGGAACGTGGACTGGAATCCGAGGATCGGCAACAGGACAACCAGCCGAAGCGGCTTCGCACATCAAATTGGCTGCACCACTCCTCAATCAGAAGGAAGCCGCAGTCATAACAGCAGTTGCCGGTATGCAAGATACAGGGCACTTCAAGTAGACATGCTCACCATATCTCACCATCAAAACGGACCGGGCCAAGGAATTTGTGTCCAAGTTCCGGAAGTGGGCTACCCATCGAGATTTGATTCTTGAGTTGACTGTAACCTTGCGAGAGATCGGGATTGGCAGTCTAAAGAAATCAACAGGCACGCCATTGAGGACCGCTTCGACGCCATCGAGGACCACTTCGCAGGATGAGACTGAATCTTCAAAGGCTGCTTCCATATGGTGGGGGTGGCAAATGATTGGCGGCACCGGTACCGGTACAAGCACCATTTTCCGGACCGGCCGAGGGCCTTGCATCATCAGCTGGAGGCTCCCATGGGCGCAAACCGTCTGGAACAAAGGACATCGAAAATCACTGGAGTTCGGCGGAAGAGTGCGAGGACAAGATTGCCCAGCAAAAGTTCACGGAAATCACACTGGACTTGCAAGATCAACGCTTCAGGTTTCATGCAAAACAAGCTGGACTCCGTCTTGGAAGACCAGTTCCAGGAACTGGGGGAAGTGTTGTGACTCTCGCGCTCGTCGCAGACGTCGCCGACCTGTCGGAGAACTGCAGCGCAGTCTGGGCGCGCATCACCCGCTCCTTCGCGCTCGCCCAGGAAACCAATGGTTACAAAATAGCCTACAAAAAGCAAGCCTAGGAAACTCCTTCTGGGAGAGTCTTCAGCAATGTCAAGGTTGTGAACTTCGCCGATTTTGAAGAAGGACCCAGGAAGTGCATCTGAAATCGTGATGAGTCCTCGGAAATGGTTGAGTGAGTTGAAATCCCTGAGGATGATGAGGGACGGGGTCCAGGAGCTCATGAAGGGGGCCCAACAACTGTTGGTCTATCCCAGCTGTAAGTGAAAACCATGTGGACACTGCCTCGACGGAAGGCATTTGAGGGCAAGCTCAAGAGACTACAAAGGAGGTCAATATGATGTTGAAAGCACTCTCCAGGAAAAAGGAGGCCACGATCCAGGAGGTGGAGGTGCCGCAAACATACTTGGTCAGCAACCTGGCGGTTGGAAGAGAAATATGCACTGAGGTCGATGCCATGAAAAACACAAGGACGCCGAAGCGAAGACCACCGCAAGAGAGCTGGTTGGCAGCGGCATTCATGTTGAAGTCAGAAAGGCTCCTAGTGTGGACATCGGAAGGCCTGGGCTTGGAAACTTTGGCACACCTGGTGAATCAGTGTCGGTTTCAACAGGAGGACTTCAAGATACTTCGGCTGAGGGTACTGGTAGCAATGGCTCCGTAGGAGTTGTGGGCAATCACGTCACGTCTGCTTTTGTCCAGGCTCCAAAGAGGTCTACAGCCACCGTGAAGCCACCGCATAACTTTGCGGCCTTCAACTGGAGCGAGGGAGTGGCGGATACACCTGAATCAGAAAGGAGTGCATCCTTGATCTCTGCTCCAAGAAGGGCATCGAAGAAGGGTCCTTATAATTAGAAAGGATATGGACTGATGACAGGCTTGAACAATTTGACATTGGCACACTTCGTGAAGCACAAGGACTGGTCGGGGAGCTTCAGTGGTTGGCTGGTTGTATATTTTGCATGCAACTGGAGTCCTCACAACCGTCACAATCACAGGAAAGCCACCAGAATACGCAAAGGCATTTCTGTCATACCTGCTGAAGGCGATAGCCTCGTGGGGATTGCGCTGCAAGAAAGTCAACGAGGCAAAGGCTCTAGGCGACGGGAGCTTCCTTGAAAAAGCGTGAGCTGTCCTACGTCCTCCCTAGTAGTTTGGTAGAGTCTCGTACTTAATTGAGTAGGCGCCTACTTATATAAATAAATATTAATAGGCACGGGGCGGGCAAAGGCAAAATAAACAGTTGGCGAACACGGAGTTGGATAGGAATCGATTGCGATGACCCCTTGTTCTAACCTCCAAAAGGTGTGCGCCCTGCGATGCACGTTCATTCCTGTTCAACCTGTGTTTTTTCCCAATTTGCTTTCAAGGAGAAGTATGTGTAAAAAGTAGAGGAAATCAACCGGTCTTTTAGAGTGTGAAATCAACAGACTTTGCATTGCAAGCGGGAATGGCATGCATTTGCTGCAGAGGCCAAGGTCAAAGTGAAGAAAACCTCTCTGCAAATGACCTTGGCCCCATGCCGTGATTCTATGAATCGGCTGGCAAATGAAAACAAATCCTCAAACCACCCAGATTTCGTTGAAGGATTGCACACAACCAAAGGCCGAAAGCCGTTAAAGCCAACGCCTGGGCCCACCAAAGGGAAACGAAAGAAAACAACTACAACAAAGAGTACTCAATACATACAGCTTATATAAATAGAATTACCATGAATTACCCCCGTTCCTTTCCCAATTTGCAATGGAGCCTCTTGCTCTGCAAATGTGGACAAAGTTATTTCCGATACTGCTTAAATTGGGGATCGCTCATGATGATTGTTCAACTTGTCGTATATCTTGGGGGCCACCTTCAAAGATTAATGATTCAAGAGTCAGTTTCATCTGCATTACCTCGCGGATCCTCCCGGGCCAAACCCCTGCAACCCTCTCCTCCAACGACTGCCAGGAAGAGCCAGTCTGTGAGTGGTTGACTCCAAAGGAGACCTGCCATGGTTGCCAGGTCAGGATGATGCACCTGTCTGTTAAGGGTCGGGCACTGCACGCTTGTAGCACTGTAGCAACTGTGGCGCGCCCAGGGCCCAGGGCAACAAGAAAACATGTTCCGCATGGCAGCATCAACAACCAAAGTTACTCGTATACTATATCTTACTGTAGATGGCTTCCTGCACCGTCACCACCAGGCTAGATTTTGGATGATTTACGGAACTCTTCAAACTTGCACATTTTCCAGCCAAAAATTCAAAAACTTAAAACCGTTCCTCCTCTCCCAGTCCATGAGGGTTTAATCCATCAAAGTTTCAAAATAAAACGACAAAGGGTTGACAGGTATCCAAAAGGGCACGCGGTGAAGAGTTTAAAAATAAGGACAACACACAAATGCATCTCATATTTCATTGTTCAAACCTAAAGCCATGGGTCCATCAGCGTGCCATTGTTGCGGCAGGTTCTTCCACGCCGTTCTTGCGGCCGTGCGTGTGCTCATGGGTGTGCCTCACGTCGGAGGGACCGCGGGCTAGGCTCGCTGGTCTCTGCAGTCTCCACAGCCAGGCCTGGGAATCGGGTCCGATTTTGGATCCGTCCAAGAAGTCAGCGAAAGCGAGATGCAGTTGATGGAAGAAAAGTTGGAACCTGATTCGCATTGCATTCAATCAATGCCATTCCTACACCACCAAGGACCAAGGCCTAATATATCCCAAGGATAACTTCCCAGCTGGTGCAGCACGTGGTCACATATGAGGCCGGCAAACCGACTGTGAAAGGGCCGAAATCGATGGGACATTGACCAACTGGTGGTCATTCTTACCTGGAAGATTTTGTGTGATGCGTGACCAAGTGTCGAACAGAATGATGTTGTACCATGATTGGCCACACAGCCACAGCTTAAGGCAGGACTGCAAACCTCATGCAGCTTAAGAGGCAGCTTTGTCCGGTTCCCTTCCCCAAACTGAACCAAAAGTGATGCATCCACTCCCCACCTGGCCGCCGCAGCTTCAATTCCAAGGGCCGCTGCTTGAGTAGCGGGAGGAGCTGGTCACCTCAAAAACTCCATGACATGGACCCTGGTGATCAGAATGGATGGTGCACGACCCTCTTAGGCCTTAATCTAAATAGTTCGCGCATCAATCCTAACAGAACAAACAGAATAGGTTCCTGAATGGTCCTGGTGATCGTACGCTATTCTGCTATTCTGCTTCATGGCCCACTTTTTGGTGCACAATGCTTCAAAGTGGTTCTCAAGAAATTTTTGTAATGGGTACCAACCTCCAATTTGAAACCCAACACTCACCAAAATTTTGTCTCTCGCCTTCGAGTTTCTGCGATCTATGAGGGTCAGGGCAGGGCGAACAAAATTGATTTCTGTAGCTCGAGCCGTTTACATGTGGTTTTTGATCAACACCGAAACCCAAACATTAACCTCACCCATCCTCGCTCGTAGTCATAGTCCATGTTGTTCATACAATACCTGGATCTTCCAACTATGCAACATGTGTTCAAAACATGTGCCTTTTGGCTGGTTTTGTGGATGAAAAGGCTGAACATGTGCACAGTTGGAAGATCCAGGGTATTGCAAGACATCACGGCCAGTTCACTGGCCCCCATTCGGTTGGAAAAAAACTGCAACCAAGGCACGGTGCTGACCAGCAGTGCAGGCACCGTTGATCTCCAGGATCGTATCCTCATTTCTCAACCCGCCTTGGCTGTTGGCGAAAAAACGCGCCCCTGTGGTGGCGCAAGCACCCGAATGTCGTCAAAGAATTTCGGGGTGTCACGTACCAAATCGAGGTCTTAATTGCGGGTTTTGCCATCTCTCATCGCACCGGATGACTTTCAACATACAGGAAGACGTCTCGCACAAACTCCCGATCTTCAAGGCGGGCGGTGGTGAAGTGAGCATGATTGCCTAGGGTTGCCTGGCTTTGATCCCACAGCAGCACGACGAGAGAGAGAGACAGAGAGAGACACTTGTGACAAACGGTTTAGGCCATATATATATATATATTTATTTTAAACTACTGTATGTACCTGTAGTCACCGTGTATCCTTTTTTTTGGGGACATGCCTGTCGTACCCATTTTTGGGGGGACAGAAAAGAAGAAAAGGTACAAGCTCATCAAAAGAAGTACAAGGCCGTGAATGCCCTTTTGGCTCAAACCCGCTCAGCTGTTGTGAGCCTTCACTTGCGTCGGTTCCTCAGCACACACACTAGCCAAATGCTCCAAATAATTTCTGTGAGATTCCATGAATATAGAGAGTATAGGATAGCTAGTGTTGGTTGCCTACCAAGTTATTTGATTTGCATTAGTTGTGGTAAGTAAGTAGGACCCTACATCAGGTCAGAGTTCTTGTGATTTATGATTGCTCATTCACTTGGAGCAGCTTCGCTATCGACAGCTCAGCTGTCGACCTCATTGAGGACAAAAAAGTATTTGATCAGTGATCGTTCCACTGTCCGGGATGGAACAGAATTGTTGTGAACACGCCGGCTAACACGTGCAACTCTTCCTATGAAATCTTCATCCGCCTCGCAATTCTCCAAGGCAGGCGAAGCTACCCACTTGCACCCGGTCTCAACTTCACGCCACAAGCGCACGTAGTAGTGCGCATAGTAGTGTAACGAAGGCTGCATTTGAAAGCGGCAGCGGTTCGCTTGGATGCTCATCCGTGCAAGCTTGGTGTAGCTTTGACAGAACTGGTAACACACCTCTGCCATGCGCTTTGCGCTTTCAGGACGTAGCCAAATGCCATTCTTCCGAAGGATTTGCCAAAACTCTAGGGCAGTAGTGGCACCTCTGTGGATTTCCTCAAAGAAAGCCAGCTCTGAAGCACTGCGCTGAGACCATAAAAGTCCAGGACCAACGCGCCCCTGATTCACATCCAGCACAGCACCCACCACAAGGACTTGGCACAGCCAGCGATGTGCCAACATTATATCCGCACCTTTCCAACGTGCGTATGGAAAAGTTTGATCACGAGGGAAATGGAACATTGCCCGAGTGAACTTCTTGATGTGCGCCACTTGGCGCCCAGGAAACTCATGCTTCACAAAAAAGTTGAAGTCCTGATATGCACGATCAAAGAGGATGTCCATGGAGTTGAGGTCTCCAGGCCATGCATCCATCTCCATAAGTGCAATGATAGAGGAAGCAATGAAGTGGCCGCCTATAGATTGCTTGTATGTGTGAAAGGGGTCTTGATGGTAAATGGCTTCACGGCATGTGAGCCTACCTGGTATTGCAAGCAAAGGGCTTCCAGTGTTTTGGCCCCATGGTTCCTGCAAATGTATGGTAGGCTCCCAAACCGGGCGCTTCCTCACATCCTCCCATGGGATGTCCGCTGCACCAGCCATGCACTGCCAACAGCATGGGATTTGAAACCCAAGGTTTAAGAACGATCGGTTCAGAGAGCCAGCTTTCGCTAAAGCAGGCGCATCAGCCTTCAACCCCAAGCAAACCAGAAAGTATTGTTGACCACTGCAATAAATTCCCTTTTCAAAAAGGGCTTTGCTCTCTGCAGCCACATCCTCCAAAAGTTTTGAGTACATGTTTTGGTGCTTTCCACTGTACCACTTCTTTGGAACACAGCTGTGAAGAAAGCGGGACTTGTACGTACTCCCCTTGCTGTTGTGGTCTTGGGACTCCGCCATGTAGTCCTCAATGTCCGAAGTCTCTCGCCCATGACCATTCCTGAAAGCCAGTTGAAAACGCTCTGAGGTTTCGAGGCCAAAGACAGCCTGGGCAGAGATGATTTGGACTGCCGTCTTCCTCAAACCTCGCCCCTCGTCCATGTGCACATAGAAAGGTATGGTATAGGCAAGGGAGTCCTTGGTTGAAGACACAGGGATGAATTTGCTTGCGCTTCACAACGCTTATTGACCGAGGTAAGGAAAACTAAAACAATTGTAGAAACCAAAGCCGACTTGGACCATCAAAGCCACCTCAGGTTTCCAGTAAACCAAGTGGTCGCTGTTGTTTGCCTTGTAGTTCTTCCAGAATGTCTTCAGCAAAACACAGCTTAAAGGATCATCTTTGTTGAAGCCCCCCAAGAGAAGGTGGGAAAAGTGGTCCAAGAGGTACTGGGCCCAAGACGTCAAACGTAGGCACGAAACTTGGAGCAACCCCAGTTTGAGCACCTTTGTCTTGATGGGCAATGTGAGGTTGCAATTCCGAAACAACACATGCAGATCCCGCTCTGCATTGTTCGGGTTCTTGTTGTTTGCAGCTCGACGCAAAGCTTGTGTCGCAAGGTTGTCTTCGCACTCATCCATGGCTGACTTTGCAAAATTCTTCAGTCTCCTGGCTGGCACCTAGGTTTGGCAGTTGGCAGGGGTTGGTTTCTGAGAGTAACCAGGGCACCTGGTCAACTTTATGTGACACACAGTTTTGCAGACAGCTGAGACGATGGCCCCATCTGCGAGAGAGAGGGCCAAATTTCTGAGCATGAAGCCTTTCTTCTTTTTACCTGGCATGTTTAAATTTGATGCCTTTCATTTACAGCACCTGGCCAGATTAATTTGACATCAGTTGCGCCAAAAAACATCCATGTCCAATCAAAGTGCTTTTTCATTTCTTGCGCTGCAGGTCTAGCCCAGGCATTGCGTTCTGAGAAGATGTGCCCCCTATGGATTCCCCAAATATATAGGCATCATTGAAAAAAAAAAAGCACAGGGAACACACCTCCCAGTCAAACCCTTGCCATGGATTTCTGACAGCTGGGTCTGCTAGCAAACATCATCTCCAAAATGGTACCCACGCCCTCGATGGCAACATAGTATATCTTACATCCAAAAAACATTGTTGACCTGACACAGAGTTGCATCTTACAAGATACTGTATATCTTATATACCTGCCGGTGAAGGAAGGGGTACTAGCAAAACTCTCAGCTTCGCTGAAAACCTACCTACTTTCGCCCACGCGTCGGCTTTTCCGCAGCTGCTGCGGATTTGGGCTTAGGCTTCGCCTTGACAGATGCCTTGGCCCCTGCCTTAGGGGCTGCTTTGGTAGCAGCCTTGGGCTTGGGGAGCGGGATGTTCTTGGCACGGGCTTCCATGGTCAGAGAATCCTGCGACCTCAGAAGAATGTGCACATACAGCGTTTGGAAGTTGACTTGTGGGCAAGTCATGCACTGCAAACCTGTGCAAAGAAAAAACACCATTCACGCACGCATAATGCATCCAAACGACCACTTGGTAGCAGTCTTGTAATGGGCCAGCAAAGCAGCCTCCTGCCTAACTTCGGTAAAGAGCGTTGGCACATGGTGGGATTTAAATTCTTTCAACCTATATAATACGCTGGCAAGTTGCACTTCCGAGTAACCTTCTACAGCCCCCTCCGAGTACAAATGGTTGATCTGTGATTGGACTTTCTCCATCTCGTCCACGATGTTGGAGAGCTTGGTGATAAACCTTGGATAGATGGTACAAACTTGGTCACCAATTTGGGGGTCATAGTGTTTTTAATTATGTGGCATTTCAGTCGGTGCTGGCTAGAAGCGCAGTGTGGGCTGGCTTCTTTTCGCCATCGGGAATATCTGAATATTTGGTCTTCAGCTCCTGAGAAAGGACACTTTCAATAAATAGGATTTGCATGGATTTGCAATATCTTGATCTTCACTCTTGTTTAATGTTTGACAAGAATCATTCACCTTACCAATCCGTTTGGTCAGGCCATCGACGTATTTCAAGACAACCGACGACGGTTTCTCGTTTTTCTGGAGCTGCGGGAATGGCGCTGGCGAACCTTTCTGAGGTGGCCCAGCGGAAGCATCCGCCGAAGCACCTCAACGCAGGCACAGTGCATGTCGCACGGAAGCTTCCTCAGAGTGACTCAAAAAAATCCTTGGATACCGCTTCACCCTATAAACTGAAACATAAAATTGAGGATAGGTACCAGTCATGTTGATATCTCGGGCTTCCTTCATATCGAACTGCAAAGGATCTACCAAAGATGTCAGGGCATCGGCCCCGTGAGCTTCTACTTCGTATTCCATTCCCTCCGTTCTCCGCCGGGTCTTGGTCTTCTCAAATTCGGTCTCAGCATCCTCCTCGTACCAATAAAGGGTTTTGGACTCATATTTGTCATACCTCAGGAAATCTCAGGAAGAAATGAGGTGTTGAAAAGCTTATGGCCCAGCAATACCTAGCATAGAATCGAGACACTTCGTATGACCCGGCAGCTTCTCACAGTACTCCTTGATAGCCTTGATTCTTGGCCTGGGCAATGCAAATTGATCCCCCAGGAGTTCCTGACCTAATAAAAGAAAATTAGCAGCAGAAGTTGGGGTGGTGTCAGTTTCATCCCTGAAAAGCATCCCAGTGGCTCCGAAAGTTTGAGGACATCCTTCATTTTTTGTTCGCTGGCCCATTGAGCCTTGACACGGACCTTAACCTGTTCCTGCTGCTCCAGCTCAAGGCGGATGTTCTTCAGAAACATATCCTGGGGGAGTTGGTCTCGGAGTTGGTTGGAAAGGTCATGAAAATCAATCGCACATGCGTCTCTCATCTCTCAACCCTCACACCCAAAGCCTTGTCATGGCCACACTTCGCAAAAACTCTTTGATTTTGTCACGGGCAGCTCCACCTTTGACCCAATCGTCATGGACTTCCTGTGGTACAATCAACGACCTCAATATGAGCCCCAGACGGAAAGCATACAGTGCAGATCTCAACCCCCCAAAAAAACACCTGACAACAATT